GTTGCAGGCCAAACAGTCACTTGTATTCCCATTCCAGGTCTGGTTTGAAATGCTTGATCGTCTTGCTGTAAAATAGGATGTTCCCATGTTATGCGGTTAAGAGAATGAAGTGCATACAATGGTACAGAATTCACAACATCATGGACTGTGCAGAGCTTTGGAAGTGCAACTGCAAACCTGATGATGACGTCTGGAGGTGTATCTCCTTTAAACAGCATGGAAAGCATTACCGATCTGTCAACTGATGCATGTTGGGTAATGATGATGTGAGCGATGTGTTCTTCAATGTCCGACCTTCGCACATTTGGCTGTACAACATCAAGGAAAATGGGCTCATCAACTTGAACATGATACCGCCATGGATGAATTATGTCATCATACCACTCACTGGGGTCTCCGCCCAATACGGCAATCTTGGGTGTTCTGCAGAGGCGTTGAGTGTTGTGGTCTACGAGCCACGTGTAAACTGACACAATAAATTCGGCTTCTGGGTCATGTGGGCAAACATCGATATGATTCTGGACAATCCTTTGCAAGTCAATGATCCAATCCTCAGGTATGATCTCAGTCGTGCTATTGCTGGTGTCATCAGCAACTGCAACTGCACGTCTAGGTGAATCCCTTTGCATGAGCGAAAGGACATCTGCAGTACCTGGGTCAGTTAATGCATTACAGTCAACCTCAATACCTTGGCTGATTGTCAGCGCAGGTGGTGGCTGAGCAGTTAAAGGACCTTGCATGATGTCAAAGGCAATTTGTCCTGCATGATGAGGTTCGAAAAGCTCAAAAGCCTCATGAAAAACATGTAATGTTCGATCAATTTCCCAATTGCTTTCTGGCGGTGCTGGGATGACGACTCTGAGGTACATGCCGTGTTCGATGCGCTTGGGGCTCGCATCTTGTTTTGGCCACAAAGCATTATTGAGGAAAACCAAACAATCTTGTTGGTGCCAGTCACAATATCCAGCAGTTTTGGTCAAAAGTAAAATGTGTCTTCTGACAAGATGTGGAACAGTCCTGTAAACATGTCGCAATACCGGTGGAGCACGCGGAATGGTATCATGTCGATGTGCCTGGTGCATCTCTACATCAATGAGGATGAGTTGTTCGGTGGAACCGTCTGGGATGTCCAAAGCATGTTGCACAATGATCCCTTCATCATGGCTGGTCTGATCCGGCGGAGCAACCTGTAGGTGATGAAATGTCCTCAAATCATCAACTGGTATATGAAGGAATCTTGCAGCATCATGTAAGACATGATCAATTGTGTCCCATCTGATTTTGGCATGTCTTTGTGTGTGACCCAAGCGATGGATCTGTACACCGATTTGGTGATCATCACTTGTTGCCAAACTAGGTGACGGCATATCCGAGTCATCAGCAGGGTCAGGAGGAGCGCCACCCTGATCATCAGGATCCTCATTGGGCCGGTTGCTTCCACTACTTCCCATAGGTGCTGAGGAGGACTCAGCTCGACTGGATACCGCAACAACGAAAGAATCACCATCTTGTGTGTTATGCGCAGGTGCCATTGTGAAAGGGATGTGATACCATCCATGTCGAATGGAACAGCGATAGACTTGGCAGCCATAAAGGTACTCAGCACTTTGTACAATTTGGTAGCCACTCGTCTGTTCCGGCAATGATGCCGCTACTGCATAGGCTGCTCTATCAGCACGGTCATCTTTCTGTAGGATGGTCACAAGTCCTGCTCTCCTTGGCATGTCAATACCTTGAGAAACAATCACATCAAAGAGAATTTCATGATATGCCTCTGTCCTCGGTGGGCTAGGTCGGACAATGTCAAAGATGACTTGTTCCAAAGGCAAGATCTTATCTCTCCAAGTGTCAATAATATCTTGGTACCACAATCGCCAATGGCCATTGATTTCGATGATTCTGGAATGAAAACACTGCTGCATGTGAGAATGGTGCACAAACCAAGATCGTAGAAAGATGCTGTCATGGATTCTTGGACCTTCAACAACTCCTTCGGCCTGCAGTGCATCAAATAGATATTGCACTGATTCCGGTGCTTCATGAAGGAAGTGGTTGGCATCTTCCGGGTCTTCTCTCTCTTCTTCAGGTCGCTGATTTTGATCACTGAGCCAATTAGATGGTACATTGTGATAATCATCAGTGGTGCGGAATGTGTCTGAATGTGCGACAGCAGTTTTTCCTGATTTCTCACTTGCTTGAGTGTCCGATTTTTTAGGTCTTCTGGACCATGGTTTTTCTGTCCATTGCAATAGTTCATCATGCTGGATTGAACTGGAAACCATGGATATTTCATCCTCAAGGCCAATGAAAACGCAAATTTGTGGAAAGAAACTTACTTTTCGCATCTTGCTTTTGGCATTCAGTGTGGAGCTTGAAATCCTTGCTGAGATCGGATCTGTACAACAGCTTCTCGGTTTGATGCAACTACGGAGCTTTGCAGGTACAACATGCTGAGCTACTACGTCGGATGCAAAACTGGAAATCAAGCTATGCTGAATGTGATTGGGTTGGTCATAACCATTTGTTCCGTTCTGATCACTTTGAAGGTTGGAAATCACACCACAATACTGCTCACTCAGAACGCTCCATCTTGCGATCCATGCTGAGAGAACAGCAGCGAAAGGATTTTGATATTTTGGACTTTGCTGGATCGAATGCTTCCATGGCATGAATCGATCAATGTCAAAACTGGAAAGCCTCTCGGTGCATGCTGCATGCGGAAAAGTCAAGTCACTTGTCAATACCACATAGGCCTCAACACCTTGGGCTTCAAGCTTGGCGTCATGTAAGCTATTCTTCGGAACTACCTGTACACCGCCCAAGCTCACTGTTTGAGTGTGGAGGATGGCAATGCTTCTTGTCCACCACCTGCAAAGGGTTCCATAGCACGTGGTCTCTTCTTGTTTTTGTCGGCATTGTCTGCACTGTCGTCTTCGACCATCTGCACTTGTGCTGGAATCCCAGTCGCGACGTCCATGCCAAGAGATGCTGCGCAGCTTTGCAAAACCTTCTGGAGTTGTTGTTGCGCATTCTCGGCATCTTGATCGTTGTCCAATGTCAAATCCTCTGTTTCGGCACTGATGGGAGTGATCGGCGGCATTGAAGCCAATGTGGCTGTGGTTGCTTTGGCCGACAGGGACTGAATCGCACTCCGTGCAAATTCGATATCTGCCCTGGCTTTCGCCGCCACTTCTTGGAATGCAGCTTGTTGTTGCCTGTATTCGTGTAATTGGCTTTCCCATGTTTTCGCCGCATCTGTGATATGTTTCGTCCATCGTGCTCGATGTGCTCTTCTGGCCTCCAACGTTTCTGTCAGGACTTTTTGGGCTTTGCCCAAAGATGTCGTGGCAGTATGTAAGTTTTTCGTTGTGGCCTTGGAGTTTTCTTTCTCTAATTTTTCTAAATCCTTCTCCATCTTCTCGATGAGCTCCTTTGTCTCGGCAGGTGCTGTTGCATTGTCTGGATATGCATTTTTCAATGCCTGAATCACTTCTCGTTTTTGAGCCACATTCTCTATGATCTGTTGTGGTGTTGGGGAGGTCCCTGATGGCATCAAATTGCTCACTGCAGTATCTGGGGCAGGCCAAGGAGGTAGTTGAGACGCTAAAGGACTGAATGGAGAGGCAGTCATAGGGACATTGGTACTTTGTCCTTTGCTCTCTTTGCCAATCTTTGCATTCTTTTTCCCCTTCCCTTTGCCACGTCTTCCCTTGGTAGCTTGTGCATTCGATCTGGCACTGTGACTGCTGTGAGAACTCGACCTGGAGTGGGACCTCGATTGTTGATTGTCCCAATGCCATGAGGGCTGTGACTCGTCCCAAAATGGGGGCCATTCTTCCCATCCATGATCTTCGTCTGCCTGAGTTCTTTGTCTCGGCTCGGTACTGTGTTTTGTGCCACTGCTCCAATGAGCGTGGCATATGGCACATTTTAGTGCCGTTTTCTTGTTGATTCTCTGGCAATGACTGCATTTCCACGGCCATAATTCGTCCGTCATAATGATGTGCTTTTGGATGCGATTGATCAAATGTTTGTCCTTTGAATGGTGTGCTGCAAGTATGTGCAGCAGTTTCCGCAAAGCAATCGGTGTCAAATGAATGAAACCCTTGCAATGTAAAAACCACGTTCGCCGGGCAGTCGCTCTTTGTCTGCGCTGACGTCGGCGCAATGTTCCACTCTGGGACAGAGTCGTTGATCAAATCAAAGATCACAATCAAAATCAAAAATGCCAAAATGAAAGAACACATAAATTGTCCAATGTTGAGCACCGTACTACACCACAACACCAGGGCAAGCCAGTTGAGTGTTATGTTTGTATAGTCAGCTAAACAAAGGTTGGAAATGTGTGTCTGAAAAAGTGCCAGGGCAAAAACCAGTTCAGCACTCAATATTGTAATGCAACGTAAAATTCGGTGTGGGCCACCGCAGAGCCAGATATAAGTCGCAAATCCAAACAAAGGAATGAAATGCAGCAAATCTGATCAATGCAGGGTAACACAAGAGCCTCCTCACGGTGCAGCTCAGAATTAGAATTGTAAAATATTGTAAAACCAACGGTTGTAGGTCACTGCAGAACCAGGGAGCAGTACAAAATCAAAGTGAGGCCAAAATCCAGGAAATTCACCAGTAAAAGCCAGGACAGATGATGTAAAGCACCAGTGACGGGGTTTTAAGGTTAACCCCCAACCTAACAAGGCCGGTGATGCAGAAAGATGTCTTTGTCGAAGCCCGAAAGAGTCAATCAGCAAGATACAATGGCCCGCGGGCAGTGAGCCCGCTAAGGATGCACGGTTAGTCCAAACGTCTAGCGAGGGGCAGTTTGAACCGAGATCCTTTACATATATATATATGTACATATCATATACATGTAATATCCATATTGGATGGTCATACCTTCATTTCTTTTTGGGTTCTTATACTGCATATACCCATCAATTTTAGGGGTTCCCGGTGTCCCAATTTCATGGTGGGATAGAACCTGATTGGGCCGGGCTCGGCAGGTGGTGGTCTTTGAGCAGCCCCTTGGAATCGAAGCGGGTTGGGAAATGTTGGGAACAGAGATGGCTGGTAGGAATCCCTTCCCCGTTCTAACTCCCCCCAGAAACCATGGTGGATGTAGGAGATGAAATCAGATATTTGGGACCATAGAATCAGATGTCGAGTATTCAGGGGATCGAAGTAATGATAGTTGGTTGGTAAGGGATGGTAAGCGGAATGACATATCCAATTTTTTGAATTTTCAGTTTGGGAATTACGTGCTGAAACTTGCACAGATCAGTGAATGAAAACACGGCACAACAAAACACGGCAACACGATGATGAGACGGCAAAAATGGGGAAACTTGCTGAGCTTTTGAGCTGAAAAGAAAACTGGCAGATTTCAGTTTCAAGCTGGATCGGATCAAGGTAAATGGAAATGTAACCAAAACACACTTGGAATGTAAGTAAGGCTAGTAAATTTGGTAAAGATGTTAATGAAACAAAGGCATCTGAGAACTTGCTAGCCTCAGCAGCTATTTAATCAATTGGTATGGTTCAAATGGACTACCAATTGTCAAATGCCAACATACCAACAAACTTTATAAACGGGGTATAGTAAACAATTGAGACCGTTTGTACCATCATTTTCTTGTTGTCAAACACTCACGAAAATGATAAAGATTGGTACAAGTGGTTCTATCACCTTCCGGCCAACCTGTGGCCAATGATGCAGATCAATTGTTTATGATCCAAGACAGATGATGGTACTTGATCTGGGTCATTTTCTGAGGATTTGTTAAAGCCTACCAGTCTTTTTTTGGTTGTCAGTGGCCACTCAAGATCCATGGTTTTCCGGCTCTCAATCTGTGACGGCTCTCCCTCATCTTTTGTTTCAGACAGAGAACTAGATAGACTATATTAACATATACTTGATAACTACTTGACATATACCCCGGCACAGAGGGCTTAAGTGGGCTTAAGTAATCGGTTAAGTATATTATATATAATATATAGATAGATGTATCTGGTATGTACCGCAGTACATATTTTCGCTTTTACTCTGGATCCACAGCCCACGGACCTGAGGCCCACATGGGAGGAACGAGACAATGCGAAGCAGGCACGCCCCTGGCTCTAGGTTTTTCAATAACGTGGCAATTTTGATATACCATAGAATTTGATCGCCCAACTCAAAAGCATTTTGAATAATTTTGGCATTGGTAAGAAATTATCCAGACAGATCACTTGGCTTAGATAAGAAGGACAACATTGGCCCTTTTGGCGATTCTTATGGTTGATCTCAGAGTTTTATTTTGGATGTTGATGAAATGTCACATATCTGCCAGGAGGGTCATACCACTCCCCGCAACAAAATCTGTAAGACGGTCTATTTCAGTGCATGGTTTGCACATGTTCGCATCGGAAGACAAAATATCCCATCCGAAAAAAGGTGGTCTTACTGCCCATAAGGAACCCCCCAAAAATTAGGCTTCTGCAGATGATTTCCCCCGAAGCTGACTGTGGTAGACTGGCTGTGCTGTGTTGTTAGGAACGTGGCTCAAAACTAAGGAGAGATCCGACGCCAGGAACCCCGCTTTTAATAATTTACCAGTGATCTATAGTGATCCATGCCCAAGTGATCCATGCCCAAGTGATCCACCGTCTATTCACCAACATTTATCCATATTAAGTTGCCCCAAATGGACCCAGTCATTCGAGTAAATATACCCCGTGAGATACGGCTATGAGTCAACACTCTGGTGCCTTTGTTTTCACAAAAAAGATGACTGGGCTATTTCCAGCTCCTCATCCAGCATTATCCAGCCATTCATGAGGTATTGAGGACTATTGAGGACTATTGAGGACTATTGAGGACTATTGAGGACTATTGAGGACTATTGAGGACTATTGAGGACTATTGAGGACTATTGAGGACTATTGAGGTATGATACTTCCACAATCCATAGACTATTGATCCATAGTTTGATCCATATATCCATACCTCAATACCTCAATACTTCAATAGTTCCTATAGTTTTGATCCATCCCCGGACTTCCGTCTCCAGGAACTTCTGTACGCGCACTTAAGAGAGGTTTTAGCACCTTGCCGAAGCACTGGGATTGGGGATTGATGAGGTGTAAACCATGGGAAAGCCACCAGTAAACATGGTGATTTAATGGTGATATAATCGTGATTTAATGGTGGTTGATGGTTCATGAGGTAAAAAAAACCTATCAAACCATTCACTTTCTTTAATATGATGATCACAAAACAGTATACATTGGGTATTTTAGGTTTTCAATGGCCAGTTATTATGGTGTTCCCCGTTTATTTCCTCATATCCCAAGTTGGAGATTACTATATTTCATCATATTTCATATTTATGGGGTTAACCATTTTACCAAATGATAGGTAATGGGAACTGCAATGAGGTATTTTCTTGGCGAGTTATGAACGGAACCAGGTCTCATATGTCACAACAAAAAATGGTACATGATCAAAATATGGGTATATACCCCATCATCGACAACGATGGATGTGATAATGGTGAAAGGAACTGGATTTCCCTCTGTCGCTTTTTTCATGGCAGATACTCCTCCGGGCACAAAAAAAGGGATTTGGTTTTATGAGAGACTAGACAGATTGATTAGACAGATACATACTGTACATATTACATACATTTACATACATAATATACATAGCCAGATACATATACTATGTAAACTATTTGCTCTGTATACAGATTCTATAATATACATGTATACTTATTTATATACATAATATACTTATGACGGTCGCCCATTCCCTCAATTCCCTCAATTGCCTCCCAGTCGGACGAGTCGCACAAGACCTTGGTATTTGTGAGCCGCAAAAGCAGCTGGGACCGTGGAGATTTCCCAAGCTGCTGGGAGGTGTTTCACCAACGATAAGATGGGGAAACCAAGCGATGGATATTGGAATTATAATGAATTATACCTGAATGGTGTCATCAAACATGGCTAGCTGGCAAATCCTCGAACTGAATGGAGGCTTTAATGGACAAATCATGTATAAATGGGAGATTTTCCATTGCCACATTTGATTACCAAAGGGTAGACAGGTTGATAGATATAGATAGAGGGATATCACCAATTCATGGTATGTGGCTTTGTCCCAAAATGCGGGAATTGACACCAAACGTTGAAGATATTACCGGACATGGCTTCCCGGCTGTATCCGGAATGTTCAGAATTGGCGACACGTCCCGATATTTCTTCATTAAACAGATTTAGTTTGGCTGAAGAATGTGAGCTTGCATGTTGCCCGACAAATCCTGATTGAGATCCGCTATAAGATCCAAGGATGGTGGTTATGTAACCTTCCTATGTGGACAATTGTCAGAGGTCTCTGAGGCTAACATGAAGACCACCCTAGGCTCACCGAAAGGAATCTCCTAGTGGGATTTGGTAGCCCCAGCCAGTTTGAAAGATTTATATAACATGGACTCAGCGAGACTGTGTTTTCACAGTTTTCACAGATATATCAATATACGTAATATATATATATGTATATGTCAACCAATATGTCAACCATTAGTAACTATATATTTTTACCTGGGAATCTTGACCCCACTTGACTTTGGGATTTCCCTTGAAGGGGTTGATTCCCCTTGACCATCTGAGATTTGGCGGACACACTGGCGAACCGTTTGAAAAGCGAAGGCTTCCGTGCCAATGTCATGCAACTTCTCCGCATTTGGCGGTTGTCTTGTGGGATTTGTTCATCCAATGTTCCGTAAAGGGATCACACCCAATAAATTCATTGTCTCACCATTTAAAAGCTTCCGTCCCAACCGTTCGGTGGTCTTGTGCCCTTCAGAATATTGATCAGTGGTGGCATTGCAAACTGTTGGTGGGTCAGTCATGGAGAGGGACATGCAGCCCACGCCATGGTGGTGAATAGTGAAGACACCACGCAACGAATTGTGGCTGACCATGGAAATGCTGGAATTAGAGTTTTCATTTGTCCAGATCCTATGAGGGATGTTTTTAAATCATGCACTCCACAGGACTTAGACATACTTAGACTTACTTCTTGCTGGATAGCATTGAACATTTCAGATTTGTTGATCCATTTTCAACTACCACCTGTGGATGAAACGCCCAGTTCCTGGATGGGGTTCCAGTGTGGGTTGCAGGGTTTCCATCACCTGGTTGTCTCCTCTGCCAACCTCCGACCAAAGCCATCAACTAACGCAGGAAAACTGACTGGTTGGATTGAAATGTACCATCCTCCTGCATCCAAACTTAAACTAAAACATCAGCCTGCTTCTTTGGGTTCCACTATCCCCCTTAATGGGTTCCTATTGCTTTGTTCCGTGACCCGCTTATTTACAATGATTGGAACAACGGGGTAATAAGTGGTGGCCCAAGCACTAAGGTAAACCTACAAGGGTTGTCATAAGACCATTGGGGTAAACCACTTTACCATTGTTCCTACTAACCTCGACGAATCACCCACTTTTGGAGTAAAGTAATCTTTCATCTCTTATAATTGGCAGACTCTATGTTAGTTGCAGGATGCATTTCTTCATGAAATCCACATCCATCCCCATGTTTCCATGGCTTTTCCCACGGGATTCCACTTGGATGATGTTTACAGCGCCGTTGCAGGCATGGGGGCAAGAGCCAAGATTCGCGACTGAATACCTTGGAGGCGAAATCATGGGCATGGTATAAATTCTAATTAGATCTAATTTAGTTGGTAAATGTTGGTAATAAATATAAATATAATACATATATATATATATATTATAAGGACAAATATAATCACCCCTGGGGAATTGAGGTTACATTTGTGACATTTTCCGGATAATATATTTATATATATGTAGGTAGTATAGTCATCATATGTCAGAATAAATAGTAAGTGGGAAGTAAGCCAGTCATTAAAATTACCGGATAATCTTTGTTTATGCAGACCTAATCATGATATAATCATGATTAAGCATGTGAATGTGGCAAACCCAAATAATAAACTATCTCCAGTTTGTAGAAGTGTGTAGGATTTCAACCATCCGCACTTGGAGGTTTGAGTCATTGGATAATAAATTCATTATAACCGTGATAGCTGAGGCATTACCTGGTTACCTGGTTCAACTGGTGGCATGACCTGTTTCTTGACTTGACAGATTTGGGCACATGAACTGAAAAGAAGATCTAGAAACATTCACAGAAACCTGGATAGAAGGATGACTGGGGTCAAGGTTACAAAGCCATCAACATGGATGACATGACATATGGTGACATGTTTGGAATTTTCCGGGAAAAACAGCAGAGCAGCAATTCACATCTCGCATTTAGATCCAATCATTGCCCCAGAGGGAAACTCCGCATCCAAATTGAGGTTTGCTTGGAAGAATGGCACGTGGTATACACTGCATACATTTATCTTTCAAGTGCAGTGAATACCAAGGAAATCTTTAAATTTCCCAATATATTTCCCTTAGATTGTCCATATTTAGCCAAATCGGTTGATTTTATCCCATTAATCCCATTAATAATTCCACTAATAATCCCGTTAATATATTAATATTCATTATATATGATGCAATGATATATATATATATTATACTGGTTGGTTGTTTCAAACATTTTTTAATTTTCCACAATATATGGGATAGTCCTTCCCATTGACTATATTTTTCAAGATGGTTGAAACCTCCAACCAGTATATCATTGAATATCAGTGATTTTCCCAACTTCAACCAGTGATTCACCATGGATATCCATGGAACTGTGCCACGCTTCGCTGCACCGCTGGCACTGCAGGGCTTCCGGAATGGCGAGATCCAACTGCTGGTGACCACCGACGTCATGGGCCGCGGATTGGACATCCCCGGCATCTCTCACGTGCCGTGGCGCAGAAAAGATGGGGATTTTACCAGAAAGCAACCCACTTTACCATTAAAGGTGGGGAAATCTGGTTTAATGGGCTGGTTTCCCATGCCAAGGATGAGTAAAATAATTTGTGGAGAAAAACACTTTGGCAGGTCAGTTGATTGCCCCAACTTTCCGAATGTAATTTGCCGTCAAGTTGGGAGTGGGGTAATTGGGATCATGAACACGATTGACATTATGGTGGAAAGGCAAAGGTATGTATGAAATAAAGTTATGAGATTTTATGATGTAGGAAGATTTATGAATAAATAAATGATCGATTTCAGATTCAGGGATTAATTTTTCAGGATGGTGAATGGCCACGTATTTACCAACCCTATAAGGCTTACCCTAAGGCGATGACATTTTCTCTGGGTGTTCATTTTTGATGCTGGTCTTACCATAGAAACTTTATGACATCATATGACATCATATGAAAATGTGTGAGCTGAAATTTGAAATATCTCCAACCATGTTACCATGTTTATGGTGCGCAAGGTGGTGATCTATGACATGGGGGATATTGAGGTGCAGCAAGGGTGATGCGCGGGTGGAAGGATTTGGATGGTCATATTTCTTGGTCAACGATCAACCCACTCTCCGATGAACCGCTCAGTTTTTATCACATTTATCAATCAATGATGACTTTGATCCAACCATATCCAACCGAAACTATGATGTTATGGTGATTGGTTCGGCATAAATCAATCTGCCATTTTCTGTCATTTTGTTTGCCATCAATGGGGGAGCATGATACTCAGCAGTTTATGTTGCAGGGTATCTAGGACCGGCCACGATTAGTTAGTCGGTTTAAGATTGTTTAAGTGGATTCAGTGGATCTGAAAACCAAAGTCAGGGGGATATGCCAATTTTGTTTTGCAAACGGGTATTTACCACCACAATGCTAGTCGGTAGCTTCAATTTTTTTTTCAGGTTCAACTATTAAGGGGCTACGCCCCCTGCCGCCGACCCCTGGGAGAGAGTGAGTTTGGAACCCTTCCTGCAGTGAACATCTTCCACAGTGATGGCGGCCGAAGCTCAGTCAAAGTCGCTGGTCTGTTTTCATGTGTTCCATGTGCGCGGAACGCAAGCCACGAACAGAGTTTACAGCTTGGCAACAAGGTCGTGAATATACTCAAGACGGCACACAAGTATGCAACGCATGCACAGCCTTTGCCTTCGTTTGCCGTCTTGCTCATCGCACGAATCAACGCCTGGCCCGCTTGCGCCAACGCGAAACCCGCCACCGGCACGCAGCAATCCTAGAGGACATTCGCAAGGAAATTCAGGAAATACACGAAGCAAGACAAACTTCCACGCGAGCAGAAGGTCCCAAAACGGACACTGCCCACTCATCGAACCAGCAGCTTGCTGTCGGGCCTGACACAGCACCGCCACGACTGCACATATACATCTGCCCGTACTGTGCTAAGTCTGTGCAAAGCCCTGTGGCAACAGGGCGCGTCGATCACCGCCGCGGTAATGGCTGCGGCAAACAATTTCGCGTTGCCAATGGCCTGCTCGCAGGTCGCACATATTCGCATGCATGTCCAACATGCGGCACGGTGGTGCACTCAACACTGGCTTCCGGCCGAATTCGGGTAACGCATCGCAATCCCAGCGGCCGGCAGTGTCGCACCAACCAGTGGCGCGTGCATACCTGATGACGTTTCCAGCTTAAGGTTGCCACACCGCACGGCAATGCCCCACAGTGCTTTCTGAACCTACAAGAAAAGTAGCCGTCTTCCAGCTTTCCAAGCTCAGAAACGGCGCCTCCGCCACGCCCAAACAGCAGGGCCCTGAAGGACGGACCGAGCCTCCGGGCAACGGCTCCCACTGCCTAACGTTGCTTTCTGAACCTACAAGAAAACTAGCTCTCTTCCAGCCGTCAAGGCTCACAAACGGCGCCCTCGCCACAGCAAAACAGCAGGGCCCTGAAGGACGGACCGAGCCTCCGGGCAACGGCTCCCAAACTAGCTCTCTTCCAGCCGTCAAGGCTCACAAACGGCGCCTCCGCCACAGCAAAACAGCAGGGCCCTGAAGGACGGACCGAGCCTCCGGGCAACGGCTCCCAGTGCCTAACGTTGCTTTCTGAACCTACAAGAAAACTAGCTCTCTTCCAGCCGTCAAGGCTCACAAACGGCGCCCTCGCCACGGCAAAACAGCAGGGCCCTGAAGGACGGACCGAGCCTCCGGGCAACGGCTCCCAAACTAGCTCTCTTCCAGCCGTCAAGGCTCACAAACGGCGCCTCCGCCACGCCCAAACAGCAGGGCCCTGAAGGACGGACCGAGCCTCCGGGCAACGGCTCCCACTGCCTAACGTTGCTTTCTGAACCTACAAGAAAACTAGCTCTCTTCCAGCCGTCAAGGCTCACAAACGGCGCCCTCGCCACAGCAAAACAGCAGGGCCCTGAAGGACGGACCGAGCCTCCGGGCAACGGCTCCCAAACTAGCTCTCTTCCAGCCGTCAAGGCTCACAAACGGCGCCTCCGCCACGCCCAAACAGCAGGGCCCTGAAGGACGGACCGAGCCTCCGGGCAACCGCTCCCACTGCCTAACGTTGCTTTCTGAACCTACAAGAAAACTAGCTCTCTTCCAGCCGTCAAGGCTCACAAACGGCGCCCTCGCCACAGCAAAACAGCAGGGCCCTGAAGGACGGACCGAGCCTCCGGGCAACGGCTCCCAAACTAGCTCTCTTCCATCCGTCAAGGCTCACAAACGGCGCCTCCGCCACGCCCAAACAGCAGGGCCCTGAAGGACGGACCGAGCCTCCGGGCAACGGCTCCCACTGCCTAACGTTGCCTTCTGAACCTACAAGAAAACTAGCTCTCTTCCAGCCGTCAAGGCTCACAAACGGCGCCCTCGCCACAGCAAAACAGCGGCCTGAAGGACGGACCGGCCTCCGGGCACGGCTTCCCCCAAACTAGCTCTCCTTTCCAAGCCAGCCGTCAAGGCTCACAAACGGCGCCTCCGCCACAGCAAAACAGCAGGGCCCTGAAGGACGGACCGAGCCTCCGGGCAACGGCTCCCACTGCCTAACGTGCTTTCTGAACCTACAAGAAAACTAGCTCTCTTCCAGCCGTCAAGGCTCACAAACGGCGCCCTCGCCACAGCAAAACAGCAGGGCCCTGAAGGACGGACCGAGCCTCCGGGCAACGGCTCCCCAACTAGCTCTCTTCCAGCCGTCAAGGCTCACAAACGGCGCCTCCGACACGCCCAAACAGCTTGCCCTGAAGGACGGACCGAGCCTCCCGTGCAACCGCTCCACTGCTTAACGTTGCTTTCTGACCTACAAGAAAACTAGCTCTCTTCCAGCCGTCAAGGCTCACAAACGGCGCCCTCGCCACAGCAAAACAGCAGGGCCCTGAAGGACGGACCGAGCCTCCGGGCAACGCTCCCAAACTAGCTCTCTTCCAGCCGTCAAGGCTCACAAACGGCGCCTCCGCCACAGCAAAACAGCAGGGCCCTGAAGGACGGACCGAGCCTCCGGGCAACGGCTCCCACTGCCTAACGTGCTTTCTGAACCTACAAGAAAACTAGCTCTCTTCCAGCCGTCAAGGCTCACAAACGGCGCCCTCGCCACCCCCTCGCCACAGCAAAACAGCAGGGCCCTGAAGGACGGACCGAGCCTCCGGGCAACGGCTCCCAAACTATCTCTCTTCCAGCCGTCAAGGCTCACAAACGGCGCCTCCGCCACGCCCAAACAGCAGGGCCCTGAAGGACGGACCGAGCCTCCGGGCAACGGCTCCCACTGCCTAACGTTGCTTTCTGAACCTACAAGAAAACTAGCTCTCTTCCGCCGTCAAGGCTCACAAACGTCGCCTCGCCACAGGCAAAAACATCAGGGCCTGAAGGACGGACGAGCCTTCCGGGCAACGGCTCCACAACTAGCTCTCTTCTCTTCCAGCCGTCAAGGCTCACAAACAGGCGCCTCGCCACGCCCAACAGCAGGGCCCTGAAGGACGTACCGCGCTCCCGGGCCAACCGCTCCACTGCCTAACGTTGCTTTCTGAACCTACAAGAAAACTAGCTCTCTTCCAGCCGTCAAGGCTCACAAACGGGCTGCCCGGGGGGGGATCGCACCAGAAAACAGCAGGGGCCCTGAGGACGGACCGAGCCTCCGGGCAACGGCTCCCAAACTAGCTCTCTTCCAGCCGTCAAGGCTCACAACCGGCGCCTCCGCCACGCCCAAACAGCAGGGCCCTGAAGGACGGACCGAGCCTCCGGGCAACGGCTCCCACTGCCTAACGTTGCTTTCTGAACCTACAAGAAAACTAGCTCTCTTCCAGCCGTCAAGGCTCACAAACGGCGCCCTCGCCACAGCAAAACAGCAGGCCCCTGAAGGACGGACCGAGCCTCCGGGCAACGGCTCCCAAACTAGCTCTCTTCCAGCCGTCAACAGCTCCGGTCAAGGGACCTCCTCGCAGGGCTAAAACACCATGGCAGTGAAGGACGGATTGGGCCCGCGGCCCGTAGCCCAGAGTGCCAAACATTACTTTCTGTCGCTCGTTTACTCTTGCTTCTGCATTCTTGCTTCTAACTTCTTGTTTCGTGCTTCTTTCGCTTGCTACGTTCGCTGAGACTGCCCCTCCTTTCTCGCTTCCTTTTTTGAGCTTCTTACTCTGCACCTGGCTTCCCTTTCTGTCCCCCCCTCGCTTGCCCCGCTACGTTCGCTGAGACTGCCCCTCCTTTCTCGCTTCCTTTTTTGGGCTTCTTACTCTGCACCTGGCTTCCCTTTCTGTCCCCCCCTCGCTTGCCCCTCACTTGCACTGCACAACACTTGTTGCTTGTAATCTCTT